TGTTGGCAATTTAAGGTAAAGCTCCTTTACATTCTTACAGGAGTTTAGCTGTAGCTGGGGTTTAGAGGAGCAGATGGGTACCCCAGGCTTGATGCTCCATCAGCTCCCCTCAGAGTGGGTGTTCCAAGTGTGTGGCTTGTAGCTGAGTAATATGAGCTTGACCTGAGAAGAATGTGTGTCCCCACTGAGCTCTTGCACTAACCTGATCTAAGCTCCAGAGGTTTGCTATTCTGTATTTAAATGCTCATACCATTAAAACCACTGAAGCAGTATTCTTAAACATACTTTGGTTTAGATCTCAGTGGGACTTTTAAATCAAGAGGACGTGATGACTGAAAACCAGGCTTTTGCTATGGAAAAAATAATTTTCTTGTTATGTAAAAAGAATATGTAATTATTTGGGGCTGGTTGTTTTTGGCAGTTATTACTGTTTATTTTTCTTGAGCACATTTTCAATAGAAAAATGTATCATTTCAAGCATTTGTTCAGAAATAAACTTCAGACATGACTTTGGACAAAAAGCATCCACTTTCTGATCATGCTAAACCTGACCAAAAGCTGTATGAAATATCTTACAGTGTGTTTGGGCTTCTAACCTCTATCTCGACAGTACTGATTATAATCTTAAGTAATTTATGTGGGTATATAAATACCAAATTGTCTTTCTTCACATGGAACAAGAGCATTGAAAAAGGTTAGTCTCTTAATCATTTTTTAATATGTAACATGTCTCAGTTTGAAGCTTCTGCTTAAATCCTTGAAGAATATTTTTTTCATGGATGAGGTTGAGCCTTCATTATTTTTGTACTTGTATAACAAATAACTACATTATTTTCCTGACTTGAACTCGTCTCTTGAATAGATAAGTTTTTTTGTCTTCAAACAACAAACAGGAGCAGCTTTGATCCTTGTTATTGAGACATCTTTTATTAATGAAGCAAAGTTTGAATTATACAATATGCAACAACAACAAAAAAATGACAATAGAAGGCAGACCATACTGGTGGAGTCGTCCAGCTGTTGAAATATGATTTGGAAAAAAAAAGTCTCTGTGTTAGGATAAAGACAACAGTAATTTGTTTTTGTGCTAGTCACAAATAACACAGAAGGTAAGCATTGATATGATTTACCCTGTTGTGTGTTTTATTAAGAGTTGGAGTAAAACATAGTTATTAGCAACTTCCACCATCTTTTGTAATACATTTGCATTTTAACAGGGCAGGGTACTTGGAAAGTCAGGGGTGAGCTCTGTAGAAGTAACACTTTGGCATTGCTGTTTCACACAAGCAAATGAGGACTGACAACCACTAAGTGCAATCCAGGCTTTCTGAAGAAAAATATAGGCCATGGTAAACACAAAAATACATTCCAGCCTGCAGGGCCTAATCAAAAAATAAACCTCTTGAGAGGCAAAATCATTGTGCACCACCACAGTACGGTTGCCATCAGCTCTCCTGGCAGTGCTGGAGCCGCTGGATCAGTTTTGATCTCCTGATTTACCTCCGTGTGTCTCGAATCAGGCTGCATTTTTCCTAGGTGCTTTCAGGGAAACCTGATCTGCCCTATAATCTTGCTTAGCTCCTGGGCATTAGAGTATCAGCACTGTGCATAATTCAAGCAGGGTTATGCAGCTCTCTTCTAACATACAGGGACAAGGGGACAGATTACAGTAATTTCTCCTGATTGGCAAATGAAAGGCAAGGGAGATGCAGTTTTGTTAAATTGCTCCCAAGGCAGTCGGTAGCTGCTGTAGGGAGCAGTCCTGTTTTCCCTTCCTTCGTGCTTCATGTTCCTACTCTTTTGTTTTTCAGAGTTAGAGAAGGTATGACTGCACAATTGGGCCAGCCAGCAAAATTCCCCAGAGTTGCGTAATTCAGAGATTTTTGTCCTCCCTAAGGAATAGGGCTGGTGGCAGGTAAAATCTTCCATTTAATTTAATACAAAAAGCTTTTTCCCTGCATCTCAGTATAAGAAGCAAATGTGGACATGTTTCTTGGTTAAGCAGAATATTTATTAGCAAATTGTATGAGTATGAGTTTAAATATATTCAAATAAATAACTCCTGCAATATATTAAAATATATTTAAATATAGATTAAATATCTTTCTTGTTCTAGGAGTTGAATGTTGATTATATTTATATCGCAAATTACATTTGTCATGTAATGACATGGAGTGCTGGCCTGGATGCTTACAAGCTCTTCAGAAGGGATAGGCAAGGTAGGAGAGGTGGAGGGGTGGCTCTATATGTTAGAGACTCTCTTGACTCTGTAGAACTTAAAGTCAGTAATGATAAGGTTGAGTGCCTGTGGATCAGAATCGTTTGTCTTCCCAGTCTGAAATCTCTACTAGAGAGCTTCTTGAAAGTAGTTCAGTTCCAACTAATCTTTCAAAGCACATCTGCACATTTCTATTCCCAGCTGCAGAGACTGGATAAAATAAAGGTTGAATAGCATTGAAAACCTGTAAAACTGGATCTCACAAATCACACTAAGATTTTTTTTTTTTTTACTGTGCACTTTCTTTTGCCTTCAAGTATCTAGGGGCTTAGCTGTGATTTGAAAGCCTTTAGCATTTTTTCAAGTGCTAGTTAAGAAATTGTATGGAAGCTATTGAATTTTCTTAGTTGTTTGCCACAGCACCTGTAATTTATCATGATTATTCTTCAGTATCAATTAACAATCCATGCAAAATTGCTATATGTGTTCAAGAATGGATTTAGAACTGCTGCAAAGCCTTATTCATAACTTTGTGTTAACACTCTTGGTAATGTGGCAGTCATTTTTTAGTACATAACCCTTATCTTTGTTTTATTCATGATAATAATGATGTCTGAGCAAATGTCAGATGGAAGAGATCTCTTAAAGTCAGATTCCAGATTTAATGTTTACCCTGCAATCTCCAGCATAGTTAAAGCAAACAATTTCTGTAGTGTTTGAAATTGCAAATGTTAAAGTTACTCAGCTTCAGTTTTGTCATCTGTAACACACTGTGATGCACAAACCATAACTGCAGGCAACACTTAACTGGTTTTATTTAGCTTGGACTTTATCATAAATACTAATTCATTGAAGTGGAAACTGAGGTAATATATCTTGAATTCTATTTACCTTTCTGTCTGGTGCAAGACATGCCTTTATTTAGCAATGTACTCTTTTCCCCTCCCTACATCCCCTGAAATTAGACTCTTGCCGTAATTGTTCCAAGGAAAAGTTTTGTAAATAATACAGGCCCTTAAAGCTGAATTGAGAGCTCTACTGGTAAGGCAGATGGAGTCAAGAATGTAAAAACACAAGCTGGGAAGCTGTACTGGCCTGTCTCTCTTCTAGTCTCATAGTCAAGAAACTCAGAATAAGACAGCTGAGACCGTAAAATGTGTGATTGTAATTCATAACTTCCACCTAGACCATCCTGATCTGTCTGCTTCTACAGCTTGGCCACAACGTTGTAGATAGGATTTGCCATTTTCTGGAATACTGCACCACCTTCCATTTTTTGGAATGCTTAGCTGCACATCCCTGGAGGAGTGCTTCACCATGCCATCATGAACATGGGCTGAGCTGGGGATGTTCAACCAGGACGAGAAGCTGGGGAGACCTTATAGCACCTTCCAGTACCTAAGGGGGCTACAGGAGAGCTGGAGGGGGACTTTTAACAACGATATGTAATGACAGGACAAGGAGTAATGGCTTCACACTGAAAGAGGGAAGCTTTAGACAATATTAGGAAGAAATTCTTTACTGTGAGGGTGGTGAGACACTGGCACAGGTTGCTCAGAGAAGTTGTGGGTTCCCCATCCCTGGAAGTGTTCAAGGCCAGGTTGGATGGGGCTTTGAGCAACCTGGGATAGTGGAAGGTGTCCCTGCCCATGGCAGAGGGCTGGAACTAGTTGATCTTTAAGGTCCCTTCCAACATAAGCCATTCTAGGACTCTTCATTCACTAGCTGAAAAATAATAATATAAAATAGTTGTTGGGCTTGAGGAAAGGCAACAGATGAAACAGAATGTGTTCCTTCTGCTGGGTTTTATTTCAACCTGAGATGCTACTCCAGATGGTAAGGAAGAACATCCTGGCACAGCCTGACTTCCGTGGCATAGCTGGCAGCATCAGGCTCTTCGCAGAAAGACATGCACTCCCTTCTTGGAGTCAGGAGGATTTGGCACTTCGTGTGATTCTGCATTAAAAGGGGAATTCCACTGTACCAACTTGCAGGTTCTCCATAGTGCACAGGTAAGAACTTAGCATGATTTTGTATCTCCCTTTGTAAAGGCTCTGCTATATTAATGAGGGTTAAAAAAAGTGCATTTCATCCAGTAGAACTCCTTAAAGGAAAAACAAACCTCTCATGAAAAGATTTCTAACTGAATTCGAGGCAAATACTTCAGGGAGTAGCATATTAAAAAAGTGTTATATCAAAGAGCACCTACTTAGATAGGTGAAGACACTTGTGTCAGCTTTTGTATCACACACCATGTAGAAGCTACATACAGTGAGTGTTTCTAAGATCAAGAGTAAACACTCTTTAGCTCTTAAAAGCATCTGATGATCTGGGGGACTGTGCTTTTGACTTCTATACTTTGTCTTTAAATCAAGATGCACTAATTTGTGCTCCTTATCACATAATGCCATGACTTTTACAGCAGTCAGCAGGGATGAGTCTGTGTTTCTGTACAGCAGCTGAAGAAAATGTCAAGTACAAAGACACGCACTGCTCTCCTGATACAAATTAGCTTATCACGTAAATGGGGAAATAGAGAACTCTGACCCTATTATAGCAGAATGTAAGATAGTGGATTAACACTCCAGACTTCTAATTAATCACAGTGTGTCTCATCCTCCTGATTGCAGCTGAGTAGGCCATTCTTCTACGTTAAATCCACAGCTGTCCAGTATTAACATTTATCTGTCAGTACAGCCCCTTGTGCAGCTATTGGCAAAGGTGACAATGTTGCAATCCTGCATGGTTGAAAAATAGGTTTCAGAAATATTCAGAAACATCCTTACATGTGAACTATACCTTTATTGTGTGAATACTTAAAAAAATCCCCATAAATCTTAAATTCTAAGAAGTGAATAACACTCTGCTCTGCTTATGCTATTTTCTCATGCAGGTACAAGTACAGAGCAGTACTGATCATGGTTCCTCTATAACATGCACAAAGTGTTTTATACAAACTACAATATCATCAAAGGTTTACAGGTTTAGTAAAATGGGAATTCCAAAATGTGTTGCATACATACCAAACTTATTTAAGATCACACAGATTAATCTGATTCCACTTCTGAGGTAAACTTGTATATCACTGAACTGCTACAACAAGAAGAGCCATATTTAACTACTTATTTTTATTCCAACTTTCAGACCACGTTTTAAGAGGAATTCTGCAAATGAATTGAAGCCATTGAGTAAACAGACACTGTGCTGACCCCAGAAAATATATCTGTAATAGGATCTCTCTGCTAAGTTTTAAGGTATGTGAAACCAAACTAAACTTTTCTCACCATCAAAAGCCAAACTAAGAATTTCTCTCCACAAAAAGACACGGTATGTTATTTTCAAAAAGAACTATCTTAAGGCAATGTGCCACTACTACAGGCTGCACACAAACCACAGCTATCCTCCCCGACCTGTTTTTTTTCTAAAATCTGACAGAAATCTCAGTGGTGGAACAGAAGGTGTGTACTAGTACATATTCAGACAAAAGGACGAGATAGAAATTTAATCTAAAATCTACAGACTCTAAACAAACTCTGTATAATACGCTTTTATTATTCATAACAGGAATTCCCTTTTTCATTTCACACTACAGAGAAACAGCAACAGACTGATTCTTCAGTTATCTGTAAAACTGTGGAAAAATAAAAAAACTGAAAGCTAACTGAATTTATTACATAGCATTACTGGACTTTCAATCCCCAGGTACATCAGTAGGGATGGTAGCGAGGTCCTGGGTTGTAGGAGTTGTAGCCGTATTGTCCGTAGTGGGATGAGCCGTATTGTCCTTGTCTGTGCTGCTGGTAGTTATTACCCCAACCTCTTTCTGGCCTCTGATTAGACCTGTAGTCACCTTGCCAGTTGTATCTGTCCCCTCTGAAATATCTGCCATCTTGAAACCTGCAATGAAAAGAAATATCAAGTTTTGACATAAATTATGAAGTTTGCATAAGGACCACTTTATGGCCACAGTGTAGATGTAAGAGTTCATGAGTTCAAAGAGCCACAGAGTTTTCTAAGAACATTTCCTTAAACAATCACCTTTTTCTAATTACCTTCTTTTAAACAGAATCTGATTCTGTGTTTAACTTAATTACAAGCTTCTAAGGTGAGAAAAAGTTAAAATGTTGTCCTCCTTTTCTTCAGATAAGGCACAAATCCTATTTAGATATTTAGCTAAAAAGTCTTCCCAATTGTTAGATGGACTGAATTTAACTACTTTATATTAAAGGCTGGTGTTAATATTACCACATGTACTATATGCTGTAATTGTTGTTTTTCAGTCACTCAAATGTCAGATGTAAATGTCCAAAATTCCATAAAAAGCTGTGATTACATCCTGAATAAATAATTCAAAGTATTTTGCTTTGGCAGGTAACATTGCACTTGCTAGACAGATTAGATGATTGATTTTAGTCGTTTTTACTAGATAAAAGAACCACAGGCTAATCTTACAAAGTACAGCAAATATTTAGGTTACAAATTAAATGTTTATCTGTTGCTAGCTGTCCAGAATTCACACTATTAGCTTGTTCCTTTGCACATTTTACTTCCAGTTATCATCCAACAGAAGATAGGCTGCTTAGTTTTGCAGAACTCCCATCTTTCTCCTCTGGAAAAATGTTCCTGGCTGAGCAGTAACAAACCCCAGGGCAGTGGGTTCAGTGGTTCCAGTTCATTCTTTACTGAAAATCAAATTATTTAGTACTTTAATACACAATGCAAAAATTTTGTCTATCAATACACAGAAAATATAAAACCTCAACACTTTTCAGAGAAGATTATTTCTCTTAAGCATAGCTGCCTGTGAAGTAACAAGATACTTCTATTAACAGGACAAATTCCTAGATTTCTTCTGAAATAAATAATCATTTAACTATATACTCGTGAAACTACCAAGATTTTAAAAAAAAAAATCAGTACCGATCTCTGTTTCTCTGGTTGCCACCAGATCTGTTTCTCCATTCTTCAACTATAGGAGGGGGATCTGCAGGGCGTTTCAGGTATTCTTGGTATTCTTTATCTTCTGATGTGAATCGATGAGCAAACATCGTTTCATAATTCGGGGGCATGTCAGCCAAGGAAGTCATTCTGAAAACTTTAAACATGAACACAACAGAAGTGGCTTTAGCAATGTATGATGACTCTCATTGTAATAGCTACCAAAATCCACTTAATGAAAACAAAGGACAGTGAAAAGTTACACTCAGATTAACACAGCTTTTGGGCAGACACCAGATATGATTAATAGAAAAAAGTACTTCTTCAGAACACATTCCACAACCACTCCTAATCCACTTTTGACAGGAAAAACATTACTATGATCAGCTTGAAAAGTTTGCTAAGGTAAGGTATCATGGAAAGCCTACAAACACACATAGAAGATAAGCAAAATAATTAGGTTTGCAATAATTTATGTGTTAATAATTTGATTCTGGGAAAGGACAGCACGTAAGAGGATGCAAAATTACCTCATAATATGCCTCTCTAATGCAATTTGTGTTTAAGGCCTTAGTTTCCTTATTTTTATATATGTGCATTTGCTCTTCGGACATTGGTGCTATCTGGTACTGGCCATCAGAAGAAATCTGGGCTTAATGGCAGACACAGCGTGAGCTCTACGCTCACTGTTTTAACGACCCCAGGTAACTTAGAGTATTTAAAGCCTTTGCCTGTAGACTTCCTGATTAATCTCTTCTGCTGTTTCCCAAAGATTTGCTGGCAGGACCACTATTCACTTTGCAAACTGGAAGGAAAGGAAGGAAGGATGAAACTCTTTTCTCCTAGACCCCGGGAGGTAAAATATATACCCTCACTGATCAAGCCCAGTTTTGGGCTTCTTTCCACTGTACCCATGAGCAGCTCCAGTATAAGGTAAGTGGGGGGTTTACAGGGAATCAGCACCGCACTCCTGCGGCCCGAACTGCCCTCTCGCCAGGACAGGGCAGGGGCTGCTGCCTCCAGACCCATCCGCAGCCCCCCCTCCACCAGTGACGCAGCGCACACCTCTCTGCAGCAGGTGTAGGAGTTGTTCCTGCAGGATGCCCAGTGACTTCATCCTCTCTTCTGCCATGAGCTAACCTCGTTAGTTTTTATTACAAGTCATCTCCGAGGAATTTCGCTCCTCGAGTCTATCCCGGCTCGGGGTGCGGGGGTAGCGCTGCCCTGGGGACCCACCGCTGCAGCTTCTCGCGAGCAGCGGGCGCTGCTCCCCGCACGGTTCGTGCTGTTAAACATCACACCCACCCCTGGGGGCCGGTAACGGGGACACCCGTCACCTTCCTCCCCCTCGGGCCAAGCACCGCGCAAGGGAGCGGACTGGCTCCCTCAGGGGGGCTCCCGCCGGAGCCCCTTCCCCTCACGGCGGGCCGGGCAGAGCTGAGGGGGGCAGCGGGTGCCGGATGCCGCCCCCTCCTTCCCTCGTCCCCCACGGCCGCCCCCGCCATCGCCCCTCACCGCCTCAGCCGCCGGAGCCGCGCCGAGATCCCGCCTCTTCCGGGCCGGGCCCCGCCGCTTCCCCCCCGGCCGGGCCGGGCGGTGCCACGGGGGTGGGACGGGCGAGTCCGCTAAGTCAGGGTTTGATACAAAGCGCGTTGGCGTCAATAGTGTTGAGGTTTGTGCGGCACTTTCCTTCGCTGCCACGCGACACTTGAAATCACAAAATTAACTAGTTTGGAAAAGACCTCTGAGATCATCGAGTCCAACCTTTGACCCAACACCACCTTGTCTACTAGACCATGGCACTAAGTGCCACATCCAGTCTCTTCTTAAACACCTCCGGGGACGGCGGCTCCACCACCTCCCTGGGCAGCCCATTCCACATTCCAATGCCCGATCACTCTCTGTAAAGAACTTCTTCCTGACGTCCGACCTAAACCTTCCCTGGTGTAGCTTAACACTGTGCCCTCTTGTCCTACTGCTGGTTGCCAGGGAGAAATGCCCGACCCCCACGTGGCTACAGCCTCCTTTCAGGGAGTTGTAGAGAGTGATGAAGTCTCCCCGAGCCTCCTTTTCTCCAGGCTGAACAGCCCCAGCTCCCTCAGCCCCTCCTCATAGGACTTGTGCTCCAGACCTTTCACCAGCCTTGTTGCCCTTCTTTGGACACTCTCCAGCACCTGAATGTTTGGATTTTAACCGAAAGGTGTGACTGAAAAGGGTGAAGTGAGCACGGTGCCTGCAGCTGTAAGCCTGTGGCTGTCAATAATGGTATTTAAGTGTGTTTCTGGTATAAAAAAACACCTTAGGGATGTGTTGACTGCTTCGAGGGGAAAGAAAGATGACGTGAAGCCTTTTGGCAGCTAAATAATTCTGCATAAACCAAAATAATTCTGTGTTGGCACTGCTTCAGCAACACATTTACGTTCCCACCTGGTGCTGTAGATAGTGGTCATTCCTGTCACCTTTAGTACAGGTGATGTGTGAGCCTCAAAACTTGGTTGCTAAGCAAGGCCCTGTGCGGGTGAATGGCAAGATGTGAGGAATCACAGAATATGCCGAGTTGGAAGGGACCCACAAAGATCATCAAGTCCAACTCAGCCCTGCATGAGACCATTCCCAAGAGTCACCATGTGCCTGAGAGCATAGTCCAAACACTTCTTGAACTCTGTCAGGGTTGGCACTGTGACCACTTCCAACCACCCTCTGGGTGAAGAACCTCTTTCTAATATCCAACCTAAACCTCTCCCTGACACAACTTCAGGACATTCCTTCGGGTCCTGTCACTGGTCACAACAGGGAAGAGATCAGTATCTGCCCCTCTTCTCCTCCTGCGGAAGTTGTAACTGGAATGAGGTCTCCCCTTAGTCTTCTCTTCTCCAGCTGAACAGACCAAGTGCCCTCAGCTGCTCCTCATCTGGCTTCCCCTCAAAGCCCTTCACCATCTTCGTTGTCCTCCTTTGGACATTCTCTAATGGCTTAATATATTGCAGTGCCCAAAACTGCCCCAATATTCCAGGTGGAGAGCAGAGTGGGACAATCCTCTCCCTTGCCCAGCTGGCGATGCTTTGCCTGATGCTCCCCTGGACAGAGTTGGCCCTCCTGGCTCCCAGGCCACTTCTGACTCATATTCAACTTGCCATCAACCAAGCTGTGCCTCCCCCTGTACTGCTGCCACCCGGGCTGTTACTGCTCATCTGTGAAGTGCCACGGTGGTTAAGAACAGCTCGCAGCCTAAAGGATCTGTGATATTGGGGTGCCGTGTGACTCCCCCCTCGGAACGACTGGTGGCATCAAGACCTTCCTGTAGCAGAAATGGTGTCAATGTCCCTGTCAATGTTTGCCTTTTTTCCACAGCGCTGATGTCTTCGCAGTGCTGGCTAATTTCCACAACACTTAAGCCAATGATTTTTAAATGGTCTCTTGTGCTGTGTATGAGAAATGGATTTTTTATAGGACCCTTTCAGAAAGCAATGGTTTTTTACAAGCTCTGCTAGAGACTCTATCGCTTGCAGGCACTAGCAAAGCATAGAAACTGATAATCAAGTAGATCACTTGAAACAAAATACCCCAGCAACAGCAATAAAGGCATCCAATTCTCCAAAAATATTAGACCAGAATGAGTGCCCTTTGTTTGATATAAACAGCAATAATTACAATCTGCTCTCCTGTGTGACCTACAGCAGGAGTGTATTGTCACTTGCAGAATAGAAATGATGACCTCAATCCAAACAGCCTAATGCAAATATCTTAGCCTAGATAGCTAGTTCTAAGCCAAACCAATTGTCATAGAGGCTGAAAAATATTATATTTTAGCTTAAGTTTTCCCTGTATAATCCTTGTTCTACCAACTGCCCTTTGAAATGGGCAGAATTAAGTAGGATTTTATTTCTTCTCCAGACATGTTTCATTTTGATCACTGGATATTGTAGTTTTGGGTGTGTCTACTGAGGATTTCATGCATAAAATTAATGAGATGATCCTTAATAAAAGGAGACACTTTTTTGTTTTTGAGGCTCTAGTCTGCTGTTTCATGGGTGACATTTTTCATTAAAAGACCAAACTTAATATTAAACTTTTAATTACAGACTCAAGTCATCCATACAGTTAATCATGTGCATAATCTAAGCATATATATAAGTTCTGTTGAAGGCACAGGCCCGCTGTAATGCTGTGAGCAGTGTATTTCACAAATTGCAGTTTTGCTGAGGTGCTCTCATCAGCATATTCTGCATAGAAAAACACTTGCAGGGAATGGCTAAATCAGAATGGCACATAATTATCTAAATAATATACATATACATGATGCTTGTGCTTTGTTTCTTTTTTCATTATGTGTCTTTATGCTTTATATGGGTTGTAACATCAAGAAGGAGATCATGATTCAATATCCTAAGCTTTCTCGCAGATGTTGTACCAAAATTCAAACTGCATTAAAAAAACCAAAGTGACAGATGATTTTTTAGGGAATAAAGACACTCAAAAATTAATATTGTCACGGAGTAGAACTTTCAACACCCCATAAATGCATCGCATAGCACATACCTACAGAGTAAGTGCCCAAATACTTGAAAGGTCGAGCTCCAAGTGCTGTCAAGACTGAGAACTTGATAATCCACTCTTGCAATCTTTCCGCTCACTTCAAGGCTCTCTGGGTAATTAATGTGTTGTTTTTGTATGAAAACGATCTTGTAATCAGCATCTCTGAAGTCTACTGTAGTGTAATAAAGCCTCAAAGGGTTTGCTTTTTTTTTCTGTGGATTTCATTATGTTAAATAACGTGCTGTTAGATGAAGTCTTATCTTCTGAATTTTAAACTAAGAGTTGTTCCTCTTAGCCTATCAGAAATTAATGTATTTTTGTAGAAAAGATCTTCCTGACTGAACAAAGCAATATGTGCTAAAACTAGCAAAGTCTTGCTTGCCTTGAAACAATGGAAAATACCAGTTCTTTTTATAACTGTTTAGCCTTGATAACTCATGCTGTTCTGTCACAGGACTTTGTATTTGATGTTTTACATGAATTCCCAGCTTCTGGACTCATGTGTTTTCATTATACTCAACTTTCATTTGAAAATTAATTTCTAGCCCTTGTTATTACAGACACTTATTGGGAAAAGAAGTAAGTCTGCTCTACAGGATAACCAGCCTGTGCCAAGAAGCAAAAGGAAAATATTATTCAAGTTGTATTTGTTTAAAATCTTTTATCTTTTGCAATTTTCTGTTTCTTTAAGACTAGGTTCATTGCTCTATCTCAGTAGAGCTTGACAGCTGTGACATTTTTAATGAAAAGTCAGCATGTGTCTATCTCAGTAGCAGGAGAAAAGGAGAACTACTTTTTTTTTTTGTGCATTTCTATATCTTTAAACAGGAGGAATCCTTTTTCTTCAGTGTTAATATCTACCTTGAGAAATCAACTAAGGAACTAACATCACTTGTAATTTGGGCCTGTCTGATTGAGGGAATATTTGTCTATAAACGAATAAGCAGAGAAACCTCCATAGATGGTTATGGATGCTCCTGGGGATTTTTAGTAATAAAGTAATATATCAGAAAATATTTTAGTGAAAATTTGTCTTCAAAACTCTGATTTTTTTTTTCTTAGCTTGCTGAAACTGCTCAGTGCTTTCCTGTCAGCCAATTTTCCTCTCCCCCCATTCTTTTCTCAGTGTCTCAGTTACAGTGTAACCGAAAGCCCGGTTTGTTTGTACAATGAAACCTGAATTCCCCAGATAATTTATTCTCGGAAATGGTGATGTCTGGCACAGCTAGGGAGAACAAGACTTTTTGTTCTGGTTGCAGCAGGTACAAAGGGCATGCGTGGCAGCCTTGTTATTGATTCCACATAAAGGGAAGCTGTGTTTCCGTGGGCACGAGAGGCTGTTGTAAGACCACCAGGGGCCATCTGAGCAACTAATGACCGCCAAGTATTTGCTCGATCATTCATTGCACTGAGAGATAGGTAAGCAGAGATCCTTTTCAGCCAACCTGCAGAAATATTAGGGGTTGTGCTCTTTCTCTAGGACCTCCTGTGCTCAGAAGATCAGTTCTCATCATGGGATTTTATTCCTTTGGCTGGAAAGGATTATTGCCTGGATGAAGCTCACTTAAATAACTAGAAAGACGGAGATACAACAGCTGCTATTGACAAATGCCTCTGAAGCCCGTGCAGCTATTCTGTCAGATCTCTGCTTTGCCTTTGCTGTTTTATTGTACAATATCGCTGAGCTTCAGAGTGTCTTTCACACACCTCCATATGGTAT